AGCAGGCTTCCCCGTGAGCAGGGAGCCCGATGCGGGGCTCGATCCCAGGACCCTGGGATCATGACCTGAGCCGAAGGCAGACGCCTAACGACTGAGCCACCCAGGCGCCCCTCTCTCTCTCTCTTTTTAAGTAATCTCTACACCCAGTCAGGGGCTCGAACTCACGATCCTGAGAGTCTGAGCCAGCCAGGTGGTCCCCAACCTCTCTTAATGTCACTGAATAGCTAGTCAGTTTCAGATTTTTTTGATCATAATTTTTTCTACAGTTGATTTAGTTGAATCAGAATCATATGTTTGGTTATTTTTACCAAAGTTGTATGTCTTAAGCTCCAAATTTCTTATGAGATTAAAAATAAATTCTTATCTAAGTCCCCTTACCAGAGTGTTATGTTCCTTGCAGTTGAACTGTAATACAGTATTACCATTTTTAAATATTAAAATTTATTCTCTCTCATTAGCAAATTAATACACCCTGCTTAAGAAATCTTTAAAAATGTGGAAAAGTAGGAATAGGAAAAGAAAATTAGAGAATCCCATCATTGAAGTACTGTTAACATTTTTGTGTATTTTCTTCTGGTGTTGTGTGTACAGTTGGGATAACACAGTAATAACAAATCCGTGTCTTTTGTGTACCATTAAAAAAAAAGTAAGTTAAAAAAATAAAAAATAAAAAAGACATTAAAGTAAATTAGGGGTGGGGAAGCTGGCCGGCTCAGTCAGTAGATGTGCAACTCTCGATCTTGGGGTCATGAGTTTGAGCCCCACGTTGGGTGTAAAGTTTTCTTAAAAAAAAAAAAAGCAGCATATTAGGGGTGATGAAAATATTCTAAAGTTGATTGTGGTGATGACTGTACAACTCTATGAATATACTAAAGATCATAAAATTGTACACTTCAGGTGAATTGGATGACTTGTAAATTATCTCTCAATAAAACTGTTATTAAATTTTTATAAATAAGCATTTTCTGTTATGATAAATTCATTGCTAGTATTTTTAATTGTTGTATAATCTATCAAGAGGCTATACGTCCATTTATCAAACTATTCCCCTATTGTTGGATATTTGGGATGGTTCTACATTTTGGTTATCATAAAAATTGCTACAGTCAACTAATTGATACTTAAGACTCCTCTTGGGGCACCTGGCTGGCTCAGTCAATAGAGTGAGTGACTCTTGATTTCGGGGTCGTGAGTTCGGGCCCCATGTTGCATGTAGAGTTTACTTAAAAAAAAAAAAAAAGACTTCTCCTTCTTAACTATAGAGAACAAACTGCTGGTTACCAGAGGGGAGGTGGGTGGGGGGATGGGTTGAGCAGGTGATGAGGATTAAGGAATGCGCTTGTTGTGATGAGCACAGGGTCTTGTATGGAAGTGTTGAATCACTATATTGTACACCTGAAACTAATATTGCACTGTATGTTAACTAACTGGAATTTAAATAAAAACTTTAAAAAGAGAGGGACGGGAAGACTTCTCCGTATCTAGAATTAGTCCCTCCAGGAAGGAGAAATATTGTGCCGAAGTGTAACATTGCTTGAGCATTTCTTTTTTTTTTAAAGATTTTATTTATTTATTTGACAGAGAGAGACACAGCAAGAGAGGGAACACAAGCAGGGGAGTGGGAGAGGGAGAAGCAGGCTTTCGGCCGAGCAGGGAGCCCGACGTGGGGCTCGATCCCAGGACCCTGGGATCATGACCCGAGCCGAAGGCAGACGCCCAACGACTGAGCCACCCAGGCGCCCCTGCTTGAGCATTTCTTGAAGGCTTACTACCCATCAGGAGTGGACCACACTAAGTACTTTGTATGGATTATTTCTTCAAATTCTTCATCCCCTAAGAGGTCTATTCTATCCCTACTTTTAGAAGTTGAAACTGAAGCACAGAGAACAAGGAACTCACCCAAGGTCACAGAACCAATAAGTAGGGGCGCCAGGCGCCTCCCCAGCTCTGCCTGCTCCCGGAGGCCACAATGCCAACATTCCCTCATCGGGCATTAATTTCCTCAAACCTTGCTGGTTTCACTGGCAAAAACGCTGTCTTGTTCTAAATTGCTTTCCTTTCACGACTGGTGATGCTGGATATGGCTCTGTGTTTGCCGAACCAGACACATTCCTTTTTTGTTATTTACCTGTTGTGTTGTGGCCTTTCGCATAGTTACTATACCATTGGAAGAGTGAATCAAGTGGGACCTATGGGCTTAGTACCGTAGTTCAAAAGAAAAAACACCAGGCATGGTTTTCTTTTCAGAAGTATACTCAAATGTGGCAGCGTTTTTAATGATGGCCAGCATGACTCAGGGAATTCCCTATCCTCAAGCTCTTCGACAAGAGTGCCTCGTTCTCTCCCTCGTTCCTGCCACCGGGATGCTGGTTTCAGGTCATTGTGACTTTTGTTCATTGCCCTCTACCTCCCTGGCCTATTTCCTTATCTTGAAACATGAGTGGTGAACTAGACAGCACGTGAGGCCCCATCGGCTTTGAAATTATGAGTTGGGCACGGATTTGTGAGAGCAGCATAGTGGGTAGCGACATGGCTATGGGGCTGGGCATCCCCCTTCGGAACAGTCTTTCTGTTCTTTCCTGCACCTGGAGGGCTTAGAGTAGCACTCAGGGGCTCTCTCATTACTTCCTAAAGCACTTAGCCAAAGAACGGCTTCCTTTCCACTGTTACGTAGACAAAGATCACAATGATAAAGATGCCAAACATAGCAAGCTTCAAGCCCACTGGAAGAATTTCTAGGCTCCCGCACTCGAAACTCCTGCTCACGGGCCAGTAGTCTGTCTCTCGGGTGCTACTCCATCCTTTGAATCGGGTGTCTGATGCTCTTGAAGGTAACCTGTGAAAACATTAGTGGCTCTTAGGGTTGTGGACAGCTATGACTTGAGCACCCCCTTAAAGTATGTGGCCCTTGAGCCCCACGGGAGCAACCATGGTGGGGCTAAAATTTAGCGAGCAGCCCTCTACTTGTTTAAAACCTATGCTGATTTCAACAAGTGAGATCAACAAGGTATCACAGGGATGTGAGATCCCTAAAATCCCCCAAAGCATTTATTTAGTATTACCACCTGCTTGCATAGCATCTTTCAATGCTGGCCCAAGGCCTGCCGCAGGGACCCACAGATCCTTCAATCCCCACTGGAAACGGGTACAGGTAGATGGGGGACGCCAGTTCCCATGCTCTCTCCTGTCTCTCTTCACAGGTGTGAATAAGGACTACCCCTCAGGGGTGGGATGGGAAGCGCTTTTGAAATCTGCTAATGTTGGTTTAAAAGGACAAGATGGTACGTTCTGAGATCTCTTAGAGTTTTATGTACCCACTTGTCTAATCCTGGAAATCTGCCTCACTTTATTCAGAAGTTCTGGAACTTTCCAGAAGACTTTACTTTCTGAACAACAAATAATATGGCCTGTCCTGAGCTCTTATTTCAGCTACCTGCTCCTTTTCTCCCTATTTTCCAAGACACAAATAGGAATAAACATCTCCAAAGACTACAAATCAAGACACGTGACTTCTGGTCTCAGTTCACTGTGACTTTTGGCATCCTCCTCTGCCTCTCTGACCTGTTTCTTTATCTCCAGATATAAGTGGTGAACTAGACAGTATACAAAGTCCTTTCAGCTTTGAAATGATGAGATACAGGATGCCTGGGTGGCTCAGTCGGTTAAGTGTCTGCCTTCAGCTCAGGTCATGATCTCGGGGTCCTGGGATCGAGCCCTGCATGGGGGGGGGGTCCTTGCTCAGCAGGGAGCCTGCTTCTCCCTCTGCCTGCCGCTCCCCCTGCTTATGTTCTCTCTCTCTCTCCCCCTCTCTGACAAATAAATGAAAACTTTTTAAAAAATGATGAGATACTATGAACCTTTCTTCTTTCTCAACAGATTCTTTTCAGCCTCAAACCTTTCACAGAAATCTGAATAACAAATTTTTCCCCAGGAGTTATATGAGACAACAATATCCTCTCATACACTAAGCAAAGCATTACCTTATTCCCTCAGAAGTCTTATAAGCCAGGCAGTAGATATCTAGGGCTTTTGGTTTAGTGATGGAAGTCTCGGGTCTCTAATGAACAGAAAGAAAATATCAAGAAGACTTTATTGTTTCCAGTGTCTTGTACAAAGGACTTTATTTTTTTATTCTAGAAAAAGCCATATAATCTGAGTACTGATAGATGTTTTTGGTATGTCAGGTATTTAGCCCCCTCATAACCTGAACTTTAAGTTTGCCTTTACTCAATAATTAGCAAAAACATTCAAGTGCCATGGAGTAATATTTTACTTTAGTGACTCACACATTAACAGTAGACACACTGGTAAATAGGGTCACATGATGCAAGTAGCATTCTGGTCTTAAATATCAACTCTTTATTTTGCTCTTACTTGTACTTTATTGCTTGGAGCTTTCTCTATGAGCAGGCGTCATTTGTATATAAAGAATAACATTATTTTAAAAAACAAGTTGGGGGGCGCCTGGGTGGCTCAGTTGGTTAAGCGACTGCCTTCGGCTCAGGTCATGATCCTGGAGTCCCGGGATCGAGTCCCGCATCGGGCTCCCT